TAAGTTTATAGAACAATAACCCGAATGTTATTCCTCCGTGTTGCTTTCGATCGGGGGTCGCTTACGCTTTTCACCCGCTGACAGTTTCGTGTCCCCCACGACTTCTCGATCGTTCCTGCAGAAGTAAACCCTCCTGCTGCGGCCGGACCGTGTCCCGCGTGAACCGTTCGACGGATCGAAACTTTACCCGCGGCAAACGACATTGTCGAATTTTATATTCCGCGATTTCGGTATCGAGGTGAAATCTCACGTTCGATATTGTGATCCTACGGCGAAACGCGGAACGCATACGAAATTAGTTTGCCGTTGTAAAAGCCTGTGCGCGTCGCTGCGACGCGTGCTTCAAAATCACGCATTTCGTAATTAGCGGGGAGATCGATGGAAAGTAATGAAGCGAAACGAGCCTGTACCCCTTCGCCGGAGGTGCTTGTTTAATTTTGTAATTAAATTTGCTGTACCGACGTCGCTGCGGATCGTTGGAAATGGATCTATCGCGTTTATCGTCGAGTTTTCATGTGAAATAATCGGGGAACGAACGAAGTTTTGGGTAAATTCTTTGGTTTACCCAAAGTCAAGATTGTCAAACGTAAGAAATTCGGAATTCTCAGTAGTAATTCCAAAATCTACTTTAATTCTGTAATTCAAATTTCTGAGTCGATGTCACGATTGATCGTTGGAAATGGATCCTCTCGCGTTTCTAATCGACTTCGATGTGAAATGAACAGGAAAAAATCGCAATCTTTAGTTTCTTGATCCAGAGCCAAGGTTCTTAGAGAACAGAAAACTTCGAAATCTCCAAAAGGGGGCTGAAAATAAATTCCAAAATTTAATCCAATTTTGTAATTAAAATTACTGCTTCGACGTGAAATCACGAAACAGTCGAAACGAAGAGAAAGTTACTCTCATTTTGATATTTAAATAATTGAAGATTCATGCAAGTATGAGCTGTTGGATACAACGTAACCCAATGGTAAGAATATTTCAGACGAACGATTAAAACCTAAGCCTACGTTCAATATAGAACTAATAAATTTCCATTAATCTAATTCACTAAAAATCACAAATAGAAGGGAACGTTTTTTGCAAACTTACGAATTTCTGTTAAAAAGAAGAGAGAATGCATTTCACCGCTCGCATCTCGTATCAGAAAAATTCCATACATACGTATATTTCCCGCGTGGATCCTCAAGAATGGTGGTTCGATATATTCACCATTGAACGCTCTCCTTTGGGTAACGAGTTTCCCTGTTCACATCGAGATATCTCGAAATCATGTAAATCTCGGCCGCTTATTTCACGACAATCGAAAACCAGCGCGAAAGATATTCGGATATAAATCATGAACGGAGTGAAACACGTAAGAACGTATTCGACGTATGAATAATGCGTTTGTCAGTGAATAATAGTAGATAACGTTACATTTGTACCACTGTCGAAACTCTTACGAGAAATATGGTACTTCTGGTGGAATTATTATGATTTACGTATCCATATTAAATAAATGTGAATTAAATTAAGCGCGATCTTTCAATTTTCAAGCTCCCCAATAAAATACTGTTTATGTATATTGCTTACTATTGAAAGAAGAATTAAAACAGTCTTTCTTAAATAATACAATTTTATTTTTAATTAATTTTCGTAATTTTAATTTTCTCAGATAAAAATTGCTCACATTTAGAATTCCTTCTCGCAGAAATCTCAAAATCCACGATTTTCATTCGAAATTTGATTTTAATTTTCTCAGATAAAAATTGCTCACATTTAGAATTCCTTCTCGCAGAAATCTCAAAATTCACGATTTTCAATTGAAATTGAAAATTCGAAATTCGATCCAATTTCGCTGGAAAAATATTACAAACAAAAAATCACTCGTTGATTGAAAAAGGAAACCTAAATTATATCCACACAAGTTCATCGGATGAAAGATAAATCCATCATCGGAAGCAGCAGGTAGTGCAACAATATAGCAAACGTTAGGAGCCCGGCGATCTTGTATTTTTCCTGGAGAAATTCGATAAAATCGAGACCAGTTTATCTGGCTATAGTTCATTTTCCGTGTGTTTGCCCGGTTCGCGAGGGAAAGAAAAAAAAAGCGTTCGAAATCTCGTTGCGCAGCGGAAGCACACGCGCAATAAATTTCCGAGATCCGTTGCAAGCCAGAGGGAAAGATGACGAAATTTGCGATCGATCGACTTTTCCCCGTTCCACAAGTCGGGCAATACATCATTTCCCGGGTTTCTTCGTTCCCGCGGGAATCTACAGCTTCGAATTTGTTTTCCGATTTTTCCAGCAACATTATCACCTTGTGACTTCTACCTTCGTGGTAATTCGATTCGGGCGAATGTACTCGGGTGAAAATGCATTTTCCTGTCGGTGATTGGAAAAACCGACTCGAACATTGTTGCAACAATGATGATTTTTAAGTTTGCTGGGTTAAATCGTGTTGTTCATTTAACTCTCTGCAAACCGAGTTTTCTTCATTTGAGAGAAGAAAAATTAGGGCTGTCTTGAATCTTACGTTTTTCTTGGAGAAGCAAGAATTAATAATTATTGAAATTACTGTGTTATTGGAATTTAATTGGAAAATTTATTTCATTGTAGAAAATTATGTATGTAAAATTAAAGTTATTAAATTTGTCTGGTTCTAAGGTAGAAAATTTATTCGCCTACGGTCACGTAGCTGTACATGTAAGCGCTGCCAGTCGTGTGAGGCACTCGTACTCCAAACTCGGCGTAACATGCTCCTACAACACCAAAATTGGGACACCATATTCAGCTCCGAAACACGACGAAACGAAGAAAACATGAAACAATGAAAAACAAACAGGGTAATTGGGATATTTTCATTGGAAAGATGTTAAAGTTTCATTTTGAGATCTCGAAATTTTTTAAAACGAAATACATTTGATATTTGATAAAATTTAGTGCCGTTTTATGATTCAAAAATTCAAAATTAGCGAACTTTTCAATATGGAAAGAAATTTAATATACTAGGGTGGATTGAAAAGTTCACGGCCTAAGTATGAAGGATTGCAGCTAAGTGCTTGTAATTTTTACCGAATAATATGCAATTAATCGTGTACTAATGTATACAGTTTCGTGTCTCTATCGTCATTTTTCTCCCTTTTACAGCTAGTGAAGTAGAGGTATTTGCAGTAGATGGAGTAGAGATGGACAAAATTAGAAAACGATCCAATACCTGAAGGTAAAGGACCTCGCTTCAAAGATCATTCAAGGACCTTGCAAAAATTATTCCAAGTCCTTGCGAAAATCATTCAGGGTCCTTGCGGCGATGTCCTTTGTCACCAGGTACTGGATCATTCCTCGCTTCTATTCGTCTCTTCTCCGTCGCTGTAAACACTCCCACTTCACCAGCTGTAAAAGAGAGCCACGAAACTTCGTACGTCGGTACACAAATGATCACAGATTACACCGTAAAAATTGCAAGCACCTAGCAGCAGTTCTTCCCACTTAGGCCGCGAACCTTTCAATCCGCCCTCGTATTAAAATTGCAAAATCTATCTGGTTCAAATGTAGAAAATTCCCAGTAAAAATGTCTAACTCTAAGGTACAAATTTTGTTTTCTCTGCAAAATATCAAGGGAACAATTCTTCGAATTTCACACAAATTTTTATCGAATGTTTTTCGTCGATTCGGTCATTTTTGATGGAAGCATGACGGCAGTATATTAAAAGAACGTGCTTCGAAAATTCCTAGGTAAGTTCCCCACGGCATAAAAATCGTTGGTTTTTTTTATTTATACACCCCAGTGGATCGTAACGGTGTGCAAAAGTTGTTGGCTAATACGCTTCGCATGCAACAAGTGGTGAAAGAATATGCTCTGTACTGTAACAAACTGTGCTAAATTCAAATAGTTATAAGAAAAACATGACACTGAAATATTCTAAAGCGTCCATTATCGCGTTTCTTTGGGGCAATGAAAGCAATGCTAGGTCAGCTGAAATAAAATTATGCAATCCCTTGTTATAAATATAACAAGTTTTCCATAGAAAAGTAAGAAATTGTAGCTGTCACATTCTTTTCTTATTATTCTTCAATTTTACGTAACACTTAATTCACTATTTTTTCACCACAATTCAACTACTTATCTGCACATTCTGTTTCAATGTGACATATTTCTCGAAACCACTGTTTCTTCGTTATAAAATTCAGCAAAAAATGAAATGTAAAATTTCCAAAAATTTTCTGATTGAATAAATAAGTAAGAATAAATGTTTACTCCGTAGATGCAAAAATAATAATTCAACTACTTACCTACACATTTTGCTTCAACGTGGCGTATTTTTCAAAATCATCGTTTTTTTCGTTATAAAATTCACCGAAAAATAAAATCTACAAATTCCAGAAGTTTAAAAAAAATAATAGATTATAACGATAAATATTTACCCTGTAGATGCAAAAATACCAATTCAACTATTTACCTACACATTCTGTTTCAATGTGACGAAAAATAAAATCTACAAATTCCAAAAAATTTTCAAATATAACAGATTACAACGATAAAAGTTCAAAACCAGTTTCCTTCATTTTAGAAATCTACCAAAAAACGAGACGTAAATTTTTCAAACGTAACAGATTGTAACGATAAAAGTTTCTCTCCCCGGATAGATGCAAAGAAATACCAAGAATTTATAGGAATATTCTTCATTTCTAAGCTGGTCGTTAGCGTAGAACTACTCGTTTCTTCGAGATTCCTCGAGAGGTATCATATCACCTGACCGGAAAAACATTCGTTAACACACGTAGCTATACCACGAGTCCCAGATAAATCTTGTTGCTTTTTACTCGTCCATTTATCGCCCCCTTCGTTCTACGTTGAGAACTGATCTGTTCCGTTCCACGCTTAACAGGCGCATCGATTTCGGACTAGAAATGTCTACCCTGTTTTCTTCGCTGTCTCGTAAAGCCCCGAGTCCCGCTGTTTTACATTCGACGGAGGTTCGCTTTCCCTTCCAAAGAA